CACTTTATTTTTTTTTTTTTTTTTGGTTCATAACCCAGCCTATTTTTGTCCTTAGGAAAACAAATGTTCTTACCTATGTCACAGATCATGCTTAGACAAACTAAACTGGACGATCACTGCCAGTATCCTCTGCTGCTTACTGTCTACCCTCTCTCTTCTTTGTATTTCAGTCAGCCTTGGAAGGACCTGGCCAGCTCCACTTTGGTCGCTACTCAGTTTTATTTCTGCTTTTTCTTACACAAATCCTGATCAGTTGTTTTTAAAGAGCCACATGCACGTGGAGATAATCTCCCTGGCAGCGCTTTGTTAAGTTTGTGCAGGAAACCAAGTTCTGTGCATCTCCTAGCACTTGTGGAAATCTTCCCCTTCGCGTTCATTTCTAAGTATCTAAACTGATCTGTTTGAGGGTGGTTTGACTCTTCACCCTAAACACCTTGCTGCTTCGTGTGTGGGAAATGTTTCATTCAGAAAGAATGAACAAAGCCATTATACAGGGGTTTGTTTTTTTTTTAAATGACCCATAAGAAAGCAGTTTAAGAACCTGCGAGCAAAAAATCTGGGAAACCTTTGCATTTTCCCACGTGGTAAGGACTTGTCTCCAAACCCGTAGATAACACCACCTGGGAATAGACTGCCATCTGTGAAACAGGCATTTATCATATCTGTTGGCAATGTGTAATCACCTGTTTAATCCGGCAGGCAAATTGTACGCCACTTCTAAATGTATTATTAAATACTTCTTTTCACGTTATCTTTTCAGCTGAGGACTCATCCAACTCAGAATTATTTGCTTGAAAAATTATTCTCTCTACCTTTTGGCCTGGCTGCATAATTTTCATGCATTATTCTTAAACACAGTAAGAAAAGACATGGTCCAAAGTCCCTTTTGCTGAATCACTGGTTCAATAAAGGATTCAACCTTTAATAGACCAAAGCAATTTCTTTTTGCTTTCTCTGCATGTGGATGGCTCATTAAAAGGAGTGTTTCAGCACAAGGACATGGTGGCCTAAGACATGATGTTTACGGTATTGTATGCCCAGTGGAAGCAATGCATCTTTCTTCCTTGAAACATTACAACTCAGCTGTTCCATGGCTCTTCTGCAATGTCCTGTAGCCATCACCAGAGCAAAGCAACTCATGTCAGTACAAAGATAGGACATGAATCATTTCAGGCACTTTTTCTTCTCGTTCTTGTTCCCTAGAATTTAGATGTGGGTTGTAGTATTTGACAGTCAACTTCCACCCTCGGAAACACACGCTCATTGTGGACACTAATGATTACAATTTGTCCTTTAGTGCTTAGGACTGCTCAGTGATAGGAATGACCTCCCTTAGGTCATTCAATCCATCCCAAGCCATTTAGGTAATGGCTTCAGCTCTCCATAACGTGGGAGGGATTTGAAATCCCACAGCCCATTCTGCAGTTTTGCATCACGTTACCTTATATCAGCACTTTGCAAATTGAGTAATAAAACAGAACCAATGTTTGAGGCCTTGTGTTAACTTGGCATCATGATAAGAATTAACACGTTAGCATCATAAGCAGCCCCTCTGAAAAGGATTTAAGTCTGTAAGCAGTGCTGCCAGTTAGAAAGCCTAATAATGGAAAGTAGAGAGTGGCAAAAACCAGAACCACTTACTTGCACTGGGTTCAGACGAAACAATCTGTATTCAAGCTTTTCCTAATGTGGGGCTTGCATTGCCAAACACCAGGGCGCAGAAGCTTTCCAGACCTCCCCCTGGTTTTACCTCTCTCCAATACTATTTGTCTGGTTAGTACATTAAGAAGGTGAAGCATATAGTCATCAGCATGTGGACGCGGTAGTTCTGTTAAAATGGATTTGTCACGGTTTTTGACGTGTGCATTAGAAAACGAGAGCATCCAGGTCAGACCCTTTTGGGAACTGTGGCCCAGAGTTGCATGGGTCTTTCAGAGGGAGGTTGGGCTTTAATACATACACATGACTGATCTCTCAGGGCCTTAACATCTGTGCTTGGTTGTTGCCTTCACTCGCTCAGCCGCTCTGCACGGGGTGTAGGCAGACAGCCTGTGTTCAATGCCCTCCAGGCACATGATCAGAGCGGCTGACCTGGGAATGTGAGTCGCTTGGAGAACGCAATCTGCGGCTTAGCCAGGTGAACAATCCTTAATTGTGCAACGGCGCCCAATGAAGTTAGCGGGACTCATTGCATGAATAAGCAGTAGTCACGCAAGCCTAAGCTGCACGTTGGGCCCTTTGAGTCTTACTGGTTCTGATTAGCGCCCCAGCCCCTTTTGAACGCTTTCAAGCAGAAGGCAACTCGCTGGACACAGAGTACCTGAAAACTCTGCGTGGGGGAGATGAGCCTTAATTAATACATTAGGTGGCAGCAGGGGAGGGTGAGGGCAAAGGGGTATTTCAGCTATGAAAGAAACGAACTGCTAGAAGAAAAAGCTGAATGTGCCGGACTTCTGGCAGCACACGGTCCTACCTTTCAAGAGACCTTCATGGTCCATGTGGATAGACAAGGTGAAAAGGAGGAGAAAGAATGGGAATAAAACAGAGAGAAGCAGAAAGAGCCTGATCAGAGAGAGATATGATGAGGTATGCATTTAAAGGGGCAGGGCTCAAAACCACTGCATTCCTCAAGGTGCTATTTGCCTCTTTATACCAAATGAAATCAGCCTCAGCCCCTCCTGCTTCCAGCTGGGTGAAGCTCAGTGGCTTTCCCTTTCCCACCTCCCTCCCCACCAAGTTAGTACTGAGCAACCAGAAAAGCAGGTTATTCACAGGCACATCACTGAAATGAGTGCTGGTTCCTGGAGCCCGTTGGAAACTGTGCCGTAGGGCAGCAGTCACTGCTTGGCAGTGACATCCAGAAGAAGAGGACTGAGGGCTGGCCTAGTGGGTCTCCTGCTCTTTCCTCCCCTTCCCCTCTTTGGGTTTTTACTTGGGTTCATTGTTGGGGGCAAAGTGGGGCACTGGCAGCCTGAAGCTGGCTATCCAGAGGGCTGGAGACCACATGCTCCTCGCAGTACCTCAGAGCTCTGCTGCTAGGGCCCATTTAGTCCTTGGTCTCTACCAACATGGTCAACGGGGTCAACTGGTACCAGCTACAAAATGGATACCCCTCCACTGGGACCTGACCTGAGACCCACTGGACTTATTTCATGCAGGTTGCTGAACAGCAATTGGATGGTAACGTCTGTTGGAGCCCTAAAGGCCGATGCTTCAACACCTCATCCCAGTGCCCTGAATTATGCAGTCAGTGCCTCCCCCCCCAGCCCCCATCTTTATAACTCTAAACTCCATTTTAATCATTTGGTATAATGAGGCACAGTCACTGGCACAGAACGAGTTTTTCAAGGATAATGGTCTCCCACTTTGAAAATAAAGCTTCTCAGCTTAGCCTCCGCACAGGGAAACCATTATTCTGTTAGTGGAACAGAAAGATGTGACACTATCTCTTAATTACAGGCTGCAGAGATTTGAAAGTTGCATGCACAGGGCATTAAGGACGTGAGGCTATGATGAGAGCATATCAGACATGCTATGTGGAGGTGGGGAGGGAAACTAATGAAGAGCTCACATCAGCTCGAACCCTGGCCTCCCTTTAAATGCTAATTGTTACTTTCCTTCAGTCTATTGCAATCATTTTGAATCTTAATCATCTGCAGGTCACACCAGTTCTTCAAGTTCACCTTTCTCTGCCTGTTCAAAGGATGCCTTGCTTCCCTACTTCTCCCTGTAAACTTGGGACGCTGGGGCCTGTCCCCAGGCGAAAGTACACGTATGCTGCCCTAGCCAAAAGGTGATGCTATCGTGTCTGCGCTGCTTAGTTGATACTTTGCTAAGAATACTATCTTGCGTTTCCAAAGTGCTATTCTCACTAGCATCTCTAGCCAAATGCAGTACTGCTCCAAGACCAGACACTGACACTCCTACATTGAATAGCACCTGCCTTCAGAAGCTGGACTAATGGAGTACTCCTCACTTTATATTGGGGGGAAGTAAACCTCTGCTACCCACAGAGGTTTTTCTTGCCGCTAGGGTCTATGTAAGGATAGGGAACCCTTCCATTTCCAGTAAGGCAGAGCGCACACATGCACCAACCAACCAACACAAACAGGAGGAGCTTCCTAACCATCACAAATCCTGGTGATTCCTTGGAGTATCTAAGGTGTCTACTGGCTCCCTCCCTCTGACCTCTGCATGTAAGTGGCAAGCTCTTTGGGTGTCCTTTAGTGTCTGAGAGGAGCTCTATTGCATCCCTTCCTGCTGTCTTGACAGTCATCACGTCTGCTGGACAGTGCTGGGGTAACGCATGGAGCATTAGAGGGCAGTTCACTTTGCTGCAGAATGGCAGCCAAGCTGAGGGGCCTCGTTTCCTCTCCCAGTCAATAACTGCATTTTAAACAGCGTTCATTAGTGTCAGACGTGCTTTCACAAAAGGCACGTCCATGCCACAAACTTGCCACGGCCAGCAGCTGAGCTCTCAAATGCCATGTTGCACCATGCACACTGCCTGAACCAGACCCAGTGTCACTGTACTTACACTAATAAGCTCAGACTCCCAGCACTGCTAAGGAGCCCAGGCATAGTATCCTATGAAAGTTATGAAACCAGTTCTGGTTCAGGAGGTAGCATGAACAGATCTGCCCAGTATGTCTGGAAGGTGCTGCTGCACGACACAGTAGGTCTGCAGTGTGGATATGGCCAGAGACCTGCTTTGCAACCACTGTGGCAGAGGAAGGAATGGAAATGTTGGCTTCATGCTGTGACCACCCCTTGCTCTAGCAGAGTGCCAAAGGGCTCTGACAGCTCTGCACAGACCATACAGCTGTCTGAAATATCCAAATGCCAGACCTGAACCTGCTGTGACTTGAGGCAGGAGCATGGGAGTGGAGGCTCAAACCTGCCGCTAAATCACAAACTGATGACTTGGTTCTGAATCCTGTCCTGCCCATGCACTGGACAGACGGTAAGACCTGGCAAAGAACCAGTAAAGGCTGGCTTCTTCTGCTGTTCTCCACTTGTGGTCAGGAGCATGGGGCGCTGGGCCCCAGGCTGCTGCTGGGTCACACAAAAATGTATTAAAGAAGCAATTGCAATTGCTTTTTTCAGAGGTACTATCAAAATACAGATTTCCCACTAGCAAACCAACCTCCCTGAGCAAATCACTTCAATCTGGCCGCCTGCTGCCTAATGCTCCATAATGCGTTCCAGTCCTGCTGCGTTCCCCAAGTCAGTTGGGTTGACTTCTGGATAGTGGCAAAAGGAGACAGACAAAGCGAGTCCCTTCCATTTAATTATCTTGCCAAAACCTCAGCAGCTTGTGCTTGATGGATGGGTTTGGTGTCAGAGTGCAGGCATGCAGAGAGCAGACTGCTGTTGCAAAATGAACATTCAGGTATAGGGCGCACAGTCTATTGTGGCTGCATAACAGTTGGTGCAAACTGATGTTCTGGTTTTGGCATCGGAGATCTAAATCTACAATCTAGACATGCAGGAAGTGAGGGGATGGGGGAGGAAGGAGTCTTTGGTCTTCTGGCTCTGCAGCATATTAGTATTTTGCTTTGGCTGGGGTTCGTGTCTATTCTGTGTCTTTTCACATGCCATGCAGGACACTAAACAGCTATGGTCATATGACATCCTTTGGAGAAAAACAGCCACCACTGGAAAGTAATTACTGTAGCAACTTGCTACTAATGATAACACTGTGACTATGCTGAAGAACCCAATTATTCTGCCTCTTATTTGTATATCCGTATGTGGCGAGATTTACATACAGGATTTGTTCCGAAGTCCTGTACGGTACAGTCTTTGCAGCTTTCTACCCTGGTGTTACTCTGCATTTTAAATAAATTCTTCCCCTCTCGGGTACTTCACTTTTTAAGGCTGGGAATACGGGGTAATGGTATAGGGCCTAATCCAAAACCCACTGAAGTCAGTGGAAAGACTCCCACTGACTATCTTGGGCTTGGAAAGTTTTACTGTAATTCTTGTAAGGAAAAGGACACTGATATAAAAGCAAGCCCCGGATGCTCAGTGGAGCAGGCGCACTGTAATTCCCAGCTATTAACGCAATGCAGGAAAATGCAACAAGATCTGGCAACGTTACCTGTTCCCATTCCTTGTGTGCAATGAAGAAGCAAATGCAGAGCCATGAACACAGGATTACACGCAAACAGGCACAGAAAATACTTGCTCCCTCTTCAAATGACCAGAGGGGCTGGGAGGAGAAGTGGCTGCTGTTCTTTAAAGGATGCCATTTAGTCTGATGGGAGGTGGGGAGGTCACAGCTCCCTGAGCAGAGGGCTTGCTAGGCTGCACCAAGGTTATGATAGGCACGTTTCAAGGGGCTTTGTTGAAGCTCCTCTAGAGAGAGGCCTGGGCCCTGCGGGGACTTGGCTCCTAAGACAGAGTATACTGCACAGGTCTGGGCAGTTGCTGAAGATTTCTTGGTCTGGACAGTGCATCAACACCACGGAGGAGGCCGAGCCCCAGCATTACGTGGTTAATGAAATCCCCTTGGCCTGTGTGAGAATCTCCTGATTCTGTGTGCATACGTGTTTGAAGTGGGCTTCCTCCCCATGGGAGCTATCTTGTCCCATGTGCTTGTCAGAGCAGTCTGAACGCCCCAGAGGAGGAGCAGCCATCCTGGGCTGGTTGCTTTTCCAGGTTTTTAAGGCATCTCTTTTTGTAAAGAACTTGCAGAGAGCGGGAGGCAGGAGGAGGAGAAGGAAGGTGGAAAACAGTTCATGAGAGAGTGTGGCGCCGTGGCAGTGGTTACGTGGAGGGAACAGGGGGGAAGAAGGAAGGGGAGACTCAAGGTGAGCAGGGGGTGGGTGATGGGATAGAAGTGACTGAGTGAATACACATGCCAAGTAGAAACATACCTGTAGTCAAACGACCCGTCCTCTACGTTCTTGTCCTCAGGATTTAGATGCTCTTCTTTGTTATCCCGCACTGTGGCAAAGAAGCACATTACCAGGCAACAATTAAAGTAGAGGGTAGAAATCTCCCTCTGCAACAGCCAGCATCGCTTCCTGCCTCTTCTGCTTCCTCCTCTTTTTTTTTATTTTGCCAAGGAGATTACAGAGTGACGACAGTAACTGAGAGAAGCTGATTCATAGATTGTACGGGGCTGGAAAGGACCTTGCAGGTCGTCCGGTCCAGCCCCCTGCTCTAGGCAGGAAGACTCAAGTAAAAGCCAGTATGCAAGAAAGCACCGTTAAAGTCATAAAGCACCATTTGTCAATCACAAATCACAAAGTGATTGACCTTAGTGCAAGGTCAGTCAATGCTTCTTTATATCAGGGAAAGAGCCCTTGGTAAAGGTACTTGGAATGTCCTCATACATCATCTCTTGGTTTCTATTTCCAAAAGAGAGCCTGTTATATTAGGAGGAGTTTATTAAGAGACTTGGGTACTAACTTTGATAGGGCTCAGTGGAGACAAGCATCACACATGAAACTAGCTGCATAAGGGCTGACGCTGTTGTAGAGCGTGCAGTCTTTACCGTGTTGCTGGCGTTTGCAGTTGCTCCTTGTGCTTTGAGAGCCTGGCTTGCCATTGCTCTATCAAGTGCATCAATCTTACAGACATAAAAGTGAAGTAACACACTGGAAAACCAGGCCCACAATGAGGGAAGTTGCAAATGCTATGACTGATTTTATGGGGAGTGGCACACATGAGGATTTTAATGGTATCTGGCTTATTCCAAAATTAGGAATTGATTCACTTCATTATGATGCCATAAACGTGAATTTAAACTGGCACATAGTACACAGTTATATGTGTGGTTTTATTCTTCCTAATGATGGTCTAGTGTTGTACAGATGAAGCCATTAACAAGTCAGCATTCGCCAACGCTTGCCAAACAGTTAGCACAGATGCAGTCCGGGGGACAAAGTGATCTGAGCGTACTTGTAGGGGAGTTATGTTGGCAAATGCACACGGTCTCAAGTGTGCCTCAAAACAATCCCTAGCTGCCGTAATTCTCTGTGCTGGCAGGAGTTATCTGTATTGGAATCAGAAGAGAGGCCCAACTATTACTGCAATTTGACCTCACGTCTGCCTGTTTTACTGGTTAGGATCAATGATAATTTATGTTACCATAGCAGCCAGGAGCTCCACCAATGGAGTGGGAGCAAATTATGCAAAATGCCGCCCAAACACAAATCAAAACGGACCCCTGCTTTTAATAGTAAAGAGTCTAAGTGTAATGCAAGACATTATGGATAGATACAGGCCAGATGGAGGAGTACAGGCAGTGATCTTAGCACGCTGGTGGCCTAACACAGCATCATGGTAAAGGAAGGACTTCAGGAGGGATTTGAAAGAGGACAATGAGGCGGCTTTATGGGTGCTTACAGGGCAGCACGTGAGAAAGCAAGAAGGCACTTATTGGAAAATATAACAAGTAGCCCATACAGGCTGGATCACAGGCGTCTTCTGTGAAGTTGCTGTTGGATCTTTGCCTCTATATCATAGAGTCCAATCCTGCAGTCCTTCTGGGTACAGAGCTCTGACCAGCATGGGGATTTTGCATGTGGAAGAGACTGCAGGATTGGGTTTGGGGAGCCATCTTACTGCTTAAATACTAAGGCTTAAGAGCCCAGATGGGCATAGAGCACGCATCATTTGGGCAATTCTCCCTAAGCCTCATCTCCTTCTTGCAAAGACCTTAATGAGATCTGTGTCCTTTTGCAGGAAGAGCATGACTTTGTTTAACAGATGTCAGGTCACTCTTAATGAGTCCAGCCTGCTCTGCAGGCTGCCTCCTGCATGGCAGGGAGAACTTGCCCTGCCTTTGATTAACTGCAGTCCTTTCTGGCATTACGTATTTTCATAACATGGAGGAAGAAAAACCCTTACAATGAGAAGGGTAGCAGACATCAAGACATTTTAAAGCAGCTCTGTAAAGCATAGGGGGCTTTTTTACTGAACAGCAGATGTAATGTATGGCTGGATACAGCACTTACCTGGATATTTCCCGCCTCTGCTTCTCTTAATAAAGCACACTATCAACAAAATCAGAACCAGAAGGGCAATGGCACACATCAGCCCAATGAACCAGCCCTGCGTTGCAATGTCCGCGTGGTTCTTGGTATAAGCTGGTAGGGGGAGTTGAAAGAAAGCAAGTTAGAAAAGCCAGATTTGAACATGGGAGAGAAATAAGTAAAGTAACACCATGGAGCCAGGCTCCTAGAAAAATCTGGGCTGCTCATTCATAAATGATCCTTTTCTACAGTCACATCAGTGTGTGTCGCTAAGTGTGGTGTCTGAGACTAAAATGGGAATCGAGTTTTATATGTTTACTGTGAGTCAACTCAGGGATCTATCAGGAGCCATGCACATCAAAGCAACATAAATAAAATGAAACTAATACAGACTAATGAAGAAGGGGGTGTAAAAATAATGGCAGAAGAAGCTGAGTAACAGATTTGATCTTCCACTTTCAGTGATAGGAAATAAGCAGAGAGCAAAATTGCAGGTGGCCCCTGTAAATGGGGTGTGACATTCATCCAACAAGCAGCTAAAAGCTTTTATTTCCCTGGCGCACACTTGGAACAAACCAATAAATATAACAAGTTCCCCAACTGCAAAGGGTCTCAAAATAGCTTGTTGTGGTGAAGTTGGGAGGAATCTCTTAGGGAACAGCTCCAGCACAGCATCTAGTGCAACCCTCATGTTAGGACAAGCCAGGGCTTGCTCTAAAAGCAGGGTTTGCCCCTACTTTTAACTCCTGATCTATGTTTAGTGATCAGCACTGATGCAGCACGGATGATTGCTGAATCCAGGCACTTAAGTGTCAACAAGGGTCCTGGGCATGAAACCCACCTTGTTTCATGGGCACAAAAATATTTCTACATCTGCCAACCTGCGCTGAAAGCAGCTATCCTGCTGGTGTGAATGCTGTCAGCAGGACACACGCGCTCCTGGGAGGAAATGTGCTTAGCCTTGGCTAGAGAGGGGGGAGACCATGCTTTGTGTGTTGAGTTTGGCTGACCCCATCCGTCAGAAGGCAAGGTAGATATGACACTGTCCATGGCAGTGGGGTGATGCTTTTCAACAGGAGGAGTGAGGCCAGGAAGGTCCATCTGACACCCCTAAAAGATGTGGCAGGATTTATTTCAATGTGGAGACAAAGCTTTAAATGCAAAGCCTTGATAGCAGATCTTGGTTGAGTGAGACTGGGATTCCAAGACGAGGAGACTTGACCCTGCAGCAATGAAAGGCTCCAAACCTCCTCACTGAAAGAGGCTCTGTATTTTGCTGCTTTAATGCAAGGCCATGAGGTCACAGTTCAATATTAAGCAAGGAGAGGTATCGCTGTTTCCAACATGACATCCTGACACCTAACTGCAAACCCCCCCAAGCCACTGCCTATAGCATGCTGATGAGACTTATTTGCAGCTCCTATGCAAAGTAGTACAAATAAACCTCTAGCCTGAAAATAGCAGCATGCAACAAGCTCTTCCAATTGTCATGCACCTGGTTTTCAGCAAGATAGAGTCAGTAGAAAATAACTTTCAGAGCAACAGCGGGTAAAGTGAACTAGACTGCAATGTAAATAGAGACAGTCAAGTTCACAGGAGATAGCTGGGACCTGACTTGGATGGGATCAAGAACCTGAGCTGAAACCTTACGTGGGTTTGTCCTGACAAGGAGAGCACCCTTTGTTAACTCCCTTGTGACACCCACAAGCGACTACCATCAGACTTTGATCTGACCCAAATTACGCAGCGCCAGGGAATGCTGGAAGGGAGTATAGTATGCCAGGGTCCGTAATCCACTATATTTTTCATATTGCCTAGTTGAGTGAACAATAGCAAACAAATACGAATAGAAGCACAGAGTCTCTGTGCCAGCCTCCAGTTTACACAGCACACTTTACCACTTTCCACAGACAAAGACCATCATAAATAGCAAACTGTACACATGCAGTCGATGGTTGATCAACCTCCCTGCAGTTGCTTGGCTATTGTTCTGCCATCCTGGACCGTTAAAGCCTGCAGAATCTGACTCCATTGTTATAGGTTCAGTGGTAGGAGAATGAAGGTAATTTTTCTCTTTGCATGAATACATGCTTTCCAAAGCGGGGTGAATGAGAACAGTGCGCTTGCAGTTACCGGCTACGTCCTAATGTCTTTATCCAAAAAGTCGACAGCAGACAACACCCGAGAAACTTTTAACATCCCTCTCCCTTTTACAGACACCCAGTTCCTTCAAGACATGCAATAAATGGGGGGACAGGCCCTGCCACAAGCCATGGGGGTCCTAGCAGTATCTTACATGAAGACACAGCACGTGAACAGCCTGGAGAGAAGTGCCTCATTGAGAAGCAATCTTGAGAAGCTCCCAAAGTGCAGTTCTGCATGCCTGTCTTTTGCATCTGAAGCCCATGAGGCCCCTTGCATAGGTGAAAGAACAGGTCAGGCCGCGTCGCTCTAATTCCACTTTAATATGTTCCATTTTAATGTCTTCAGATTTTGGCCAAAGATGGTAACGTGATGATGATTTTAGAGGTGTGAATCAAAGTAACTAGGCTCCACAGCCTAAATAAGAAGCATAATAGACGAGCTGATACTTGCTTAAAATTCTACTTATAAAAAAAATCCTTGAGCCATGCTGTTCTGGGGCTTTAAACACAATCTGGGGTTGTTTCAATCCATGCTCTTCCTCAGTTTCCAAGTGTGGTCAAATTGCAACCATGATGTTCTTAGTTGGCTCCTTGAAATGAAAATTAGGATGGTTCGAGACTAAGAGGAGGAAAGGAGAATTTTTAGTGAAGAAATGAAGCCAGAGTTGTGAGTGGTGTGAACGGACTGGTGCAAATCCATAACTGAGTCACAGTAGCTTAAGATCTAGCCCGAGACTTTCAAATGCCCAAAGAATGTCGGGCCAGGTCTACACACTGGACCTTTTCCCTGGTCCAGTCACATCAGTTAAAGGGTGCAACTTTTCACAACACTTCTAAACCAGCCAACACCAGGATCAAAGAACTTGTGCTGATACAACTAACTGTGTTTAAGTAACTGGTATAAATTATATTAGCAAAAGTACCTTATTGTGCTTGTAAGCTGCTAGGAGCTTTGCAGGCATTCCTAGACCCTGCAAGCCTTTTCTTGGGTACATCTGGCTTGTAGGTCTTCAATTCCCATTGACCTCCAATGAGCTTTGGCTACGTAAGTGCCCTTGGCCCCTGACAGTACCTGTCGGTGGGTATTCTGCGCATGCTCCATTCCAGCTAAGAAGCTCATTCGGGGAGCTAAGCACTGCTTGAAGGTGCAAATTTTGATAATGGAAAGCGAGTTGATAATTGAATGAAGCTGAGAATTGCATTGACGAAACTGCACATGGGGGGAGGAGATAAAATTACACCGGAGAGCTCTGAAATGAAAGGGGATTGGATTAGCCATGCTGACAGGATGGGATTTTGGCAGAAGACAATGCTGGGAGATGGACTGGCTTTTAACTGACATGGAAGCAAAGTGACCTGAAAGAAAAATTGTGCGCCAACGTGTGGAATGAGGCTTAGTTTTTTTTTCTGAAGTGGAGAGCATTTTCAGCGGGGCGGAAGGGGCCGGCTCTCCCTAGAACCCGAGGAACTGAGTACTGACAAAATAGGCTCCAAATTGCCATCCTCATCCACAGAAAGAAATGCGTGATGCTAAAACATACACCCATGGCAATCCTGTAGGCAGTGTCAACAGAGCAACTGTCATGGCAAGGTTCAAACAAGATTACTAAGTGTGTGTCTCGTTAGAGAGGATGTTCTGATCTCCCTTGATGCATGACCAGCAATTTAGCTAAATAGTAGCAAGCAGTCAAGTAATCTCACTGGCTTCAATTTTAAATGCTGCTGCCGTGACTTTGGTTTTCCTGAGCTGATGACCGACTGTGGTTGGAAACGTGCTTTGTCTAAAAACAATGGCTTAGGCACCAACCACAAAACCAGTCGCGATCCACCAACCAAGCCCAAATTGTTTGCTTTTTTTTCCTAAAGGCATAACCTTGGACCAGGTTGAAAGTGATTCCTCGCAATGGCATGCTGTAGATCACACTGGCCATTGGGGGAGGCTTCACTGTTGTTTCTTGTATGAAAGCCAATGTGGTGTTAACGTCGGGAGGATTTTCAAAGCTACCGAGAACTGTGAGGCAACCAAATCCCACTTAAACTGATGGTGATTGAACAGCCAGACCCAGTAGGTGGTTCTGAGAATCTTAGCCTGTGATTACACAGTATAAAAAACATTACACTACCAAATAGCAAATGATCCAAGATTTTGTACTGATGGTAATGTAAACTGCAGAGCTTGGGACCTTAATTGCAGACAGGCATTTTTTTTCCAGTATGTGCCTGTATGTATATACGCATACAGAAGTATATAGGTAGAAATATGAGTAAGTACTGCACACACACACAATGCAGTAAAAAATGTGTCCACTGCTATTTGACTTCACAGACAATGGGTTTCTAGGTAGCATCCTATCAGGCGAGTTCTGTGAGCTTGAATCTGCCTTCCGACATTTTTAAGGGACAGGGGATAAAAGAAAAACCGTCTTAGTTTTTTGTATCAATCTACATTTGTAGTTCTGAAGTGTCACTTACTACTGGAAAGCACTGTTCTGATTAACCAAAAGCTCAATAGCGCCGGCAGGAAAGTCAGAGTGCAGTACACTGCAGCCGCGGTGCAGGTGGGCTAGTTCAATTTGAATGCAGATAAATAAGCAGCAACCTCTAGAATAGATATTTGCAAAACATAACCAAAAAAAATGGACAGTGCTTTCTTGTCAAAAAACATTAAATGATGGCACAGGATGGGGCAGTGGGCTCTGAGCCCTCACGGCAGCAGCATCCAGCCAGGAAAGAAATGAAACTGCAGCATGCATGCATGCAGAAATGGATTGATAGCTTTGTGGATCCTGTGCTGACGAGGCTGGGGTTGTCACCCTGACTCTAGCACAGAAATAAAGATGGTAAATCCTTGAATCTCAACGGCAATGCAGTTAGGAACCCTTCACATATACTAAATGTGGACTTGGGGACACTGAAGATGAGCTTAGAATTGCATATCACTGCCCAATTTGATTCCCTGAACTCTGATTCCCCTTGTGCTTGCTGTAAGTGAGAGCCCCCAAAAACCAGGCAAGAAGAGACGTGTCTGTTTTCAACTGGTAAATTGTAGCTGTCCTCTACGAGGAAAGTGGGAGCATCTTATAGCAATAGTGAGACAGGAGGTTGGGTTCAGGTCTTGTTTAGGTTGGGGCTCAGAGGACTAAGGTATTGTAATCAGAGTTGTGCTGCAAAAGGTTCCAGGCCCCAGCAGAACTGGGAAATAGGCTCCTTTCTGTTTTGCATCAGAACCAAACCCAAAAATGGAGGGGCAGGCTTGGATCCAGGGATCTGAAGCCTGCATGCTAGGAACTAGAAGGGGTTGAGGGTCCAGATGTACAAAAGCATAGCCATAAAAATTAACCTAGCAAGGAACACACGGTTCATGCTTCAGTCACCTAAAAGTAAAACCGGGGGGTGGGGGGAAACCCAAGCTGAAACAAGCTCTCCCTTCCCCCAACAGTCATTACAGGACTTTTTCCAAAGATGGTGTCAAGGGGGACATTGCAATGTGGGTTTCACTGTTTTTCACAGCAGACTTGGCAACAGAGATGAAAGAAGTCCATCAGACTGGGTCAGCTCCCAGGCAAGGGCAGGCTGTACCTCCAGGTACAGAATACTCGCCAGTGTTTTATCAGAGCTGTGCGGTACTATGCATGCATGCACAATGTCTATCGAGCCCATAGCTAGAATGCTATAAAATGCATTCAGGAGATCAGCTTGGAAGATTGGCAGTGCAACTGGACACACAGAGACCAGAGCACCGTCTTATGCATCTGTCAACTCCTATGTACGAGCCGTATGTGACTCTCTGTGGGCCACCTTCAAACACCACAGCCCCCTGGCATCAGCCCTCACCCGCATCTTGTCATGAACATCCGAGCACCCATTGTTGCAATCCCCCACATATAAAAATATACAGACGTTTTGCTATGCCAAAGCCACAAACACCACGAGAAGCAACACACAAGTGAAGGTGCAGACGCAGAAACTGCCATCGTGAACACGAACCCTCGCAGCAGGCGGCCTTAAGACTGCAAGCGTACCCACGTGACAATACACACATGTTCTCTCCCCTCATCATAAGATCCCTCCTTTCCAATCAACCCCACTCGGTTATTGGTCGCACCCGTGATGCGACTGCAATGACCTTATCGGACAGCACTGATGTCATCACTCCATGGCACAGCTCTATAATAAGGGCAGAGAGGACACAACATCTGTGGAGTGTGAATGAATCTGGCCCCATGCATCATCGTGACGAAACTCCCCCAGCGAGAAGATACAGGACACAAGCAGAGAAGCTCAGGATGGAATGAAATGTCTGAGGAATGCATCACACAGTGGGGCTGAAACCCATCTCACCTGAGCTGGTCGTAAAGGTTATGTAAGAGTTTTCTTTGGGGCCAGACAATTTGGGAAATACCCACAACTTGTACTCCATCCCAGGAATCAGGTCGGCCAGCTGCACAGAGGAAGGGGTCTGGGCTTTAACAGCGACAGAGCGCACTGTATTGTTACCTGGGGAACAGAAACCGCACGTCAAAGCCGGGCGGCAGGAAGCTCAGCGATATCCCCGCATTGACAGCGCAGGCCAACCTGTTTCTGCTGTACCTGGCCAGTCAGCAGGTGGATGTTACGGACCTTAAAATTGCAGGTGCCCACGGTGAAGGTCCACTGGGAACGGAGGAAACTGGCAGGGCTTTAACTGCATCTGCTGCTTGTTGTATTGATGGCATCTTAGTTAAACCCCAGGAGACCTTTCTGTACCCACTGAGCCTTGCTGCGGGCTCTAATGCTAAACAGTCCTTAGGGTTAAGTATCTCAGGGATCAGTACAGGATGTTTGCACCAGAGGGTCTGAAATGTGTTTACTCTTCACTCCTCTGACAAACCAGAGTCTGACCATAAGATACAGCATAAAAATCATCCCAAGCCTCTGATGGAAGGGGCTCAGACTGGGGGTCTGCTCATCAGCTCTCTTTGCAGGGCGGAAATCTCTGCAGGTGGACTATGAACAAACTTTAACTTTGGAAACTTTTCCTTAAACAATCTGAAAGCCTGCTGGACCCACACTGAGGGTAACAGGTTAGGGTGTTAGTCCTTCGGCTCAGGGACCGAAACTGGGTTTGTTCACCATGAGCCTGTTAGGCGTATCTCATATCTTTAAATCAAATCAATGGTATTGAACAAATTAGAGGGTTCAGGCTTGTCTGGTAATTGGCTTGCGGCTTAGGGAAGCGGGACCATCTGCTTTGCAAAAGAGTCAATATAATACCCTGCACTGGAAGGGGACTTTTGGCTTGAGAGCAAGCCCAGCGGTGTCTAACATGAACTTGGGGAGGGGTTATGGGGAGAACTGCAAACCCCACTGGCTGCATGGCTCATGCAATGCTGGGCTCTGGCCGTAAGATATATCAGGGGGCACTGATTTAGCCAGGTGTGGGTGAGGCTGTGTGTTAGCCAAGAATGAAGCGAGAGGTCCGAGAGCCTGAGATTAGGCTATTTTCGGGGTGCTGGGCACGTGTTAGGCACATGTAGCTCGGGAGATGGCAAAATACGTCCCACACCAAGGATACTGCAAAATGAGTGGACACCTCTAGAGTACAGCTGGGCCCATGATAGACAAGCCACGGTTGTTCCTGGAGTTTTGTGGCCCCTAGCCATGCCCTGAGAACAGTTCATAAAAAGCAAATTATTTTAACTCAGTGAGGGGTCACAAATAGCAGCTGAATACATGGAGTTTGGTGTGAGCTAGGGGCTGCTTTTTCCTACATTTTGGTAATAAGCAGTAAAGGTCTCTTGGCCAGTGGGGTCTCTCAAAGGAGGGACCTTTAGGAGATACCCAATACTGAGATTCTCCCTTGTCCCCTTTCCTCCCTATGAGCTGTACTTGTGCAAAACTCTCCTTGGAGTCGATTTTGAGTAAGGGTTTCTGCAGCTTGCCCCATATTACATGAAGCAAGCTGCATGCATTTAAGATTTCACAGCCATGAAAGACAGGGCAAAGGATTGAGGAAGCCAGTGTTTGATGCTCAGACCGGCGTTTTGCATTCTGGGAGGGGAAGGCCATTTTTACTGGGGTTTTGGGAGCCTGTCGAGTCTTTCCGATCTTACAAAACGATGCGGGAGGAGAGAAGAGAAACACATCCCCTTTTAGCCAGTGGTGACAATAGTAAATATTGCTTTGGCTAGTAACGAAAGGCATGGCGACCTCTAAGAGGAAACAGGTACTGCCTGTTACAGAGGACAGCCCCACTGGAATGCAAGTTCATCTCTGAAACAATGTTGTAAACAACCAACACTGGATCCCTGTCAAGAATTAAACACAGTTGGTTTATTTTAAGTGCCAACTTAAGACCGACATGCACATACCAGAGGTTATAGAGGCTGAAATGGCTGGGAGATAAAGTCAGATTTAAACAGAGTCCATCACTGACTGCCTACTAAAACCACAGAAAAGGATTTCTTTTCAAGCATATACACAAAGGATGGGTACCAGCTTGGAATTTCTTGGCTATATATACAACCTTTTTTCCTTTTTTCAAAGAGACAATATTAAAACCAGAGGTTTGGGGCCGGGTTTCAGAAAGCTCTTTGCTTTCACAAACCAGATGTAGTTTAAAGCCATTTTTCTGTATATTATCTTATTTTTTTCTTCCCTAAGAATTTCTCTCCAGTTCAGGTTGGCTTTTTCTATAGCCCTTAATTTTGTAGCCAGATGCAGTCATCACAGCTTAATTTGGGCAGAGAAAGGAATGGCTCTACTCATTTAGGGTGCATGGACCTGAACCTCCATCGCAACTGGTGAAAAGAGTGGGTAATTGCATTTAGAAGAGTGCCAACACATACAACTGCAGCGCATTCTTAATGACAGAGAACCTCTGGCATGCCCCCGCCCGCCCCCTCCCATCTGCTGGCTATCGAGTAGCCTTTTCAACCTGTTGTAATCAGCACTGCTTAAAAGACCTATTTGAAACCCTGAGAGCTGACGGGAGCCTTAATGGCATAACCGCCCTAGAGAATCTCCATGCGATCTGATGCTTACGGTCCATATACTCGACCACAAAGTGAGTTCCTGCGGAAAAATTGTGGCTCCATGTGATGTTTGCCCAGTTACTGTTAGCCGAAGCCGTTACGTTCCATATGGACGATCCATTGGCGGCTGGTGGACAGGTTAGAACAGGTGTTAGTATTTTGGATTAGATGAGAGTGGACCCCTAATCTTGCACCTGGATTTGAAAAACATGCAACATCATTACTAGTGACGTCTGTTATCGTCTCTGGCATAAATTGGACATACCTTCTACTGAAGTATCTGCAGTCCTGAGGACAAGCTAAATTACTTGCTAAATTCAGAACCTATTTGCATTCTTAATTCTGAACCTTCAGGCATTCAGCTGAGTTCAAAATCTAGCGTATGCCACAGCTTGTGTTGTCTGGAGCAAGTCATTTCTGAATTTGATGGATCATAGGTAGGCTGACTGTAATTGCTCTACTGCAACTGTTTCACTCTGTGCAGGAAAAAGGATAGGCTATATTCATGCCCAACCCACTGTGAGAAAAGGGGGCACACAAGCTCACAACCACAATTGAGAGGAGAGACTGGGAAAGAAAGCATTGATGCTAACAGTCTGCAAGCAACACAAACAGTAACAAAATCAACTTGTTTCTAGTGGGGGGAAAAAAACAACAAAAACCAAACCCAAAAAACCCAGGTGATTTTCAAGCTGAAGAACATCAATGCTGCTTTCCACCAGAGATATATAGTATAGCTTGCATCTCTAAGTGACCTAGAGGAAGTTACACTGCGATTATGCCATGTAGTTGCACCCGGTTTAGTGTAACAACATAAGTACTGGTAGCTTCAGACAGTTTCTCTTCTCCATAGAAGCAGTTTCATTACTGAAAAAGGGAATATTTTCCCACAGCTTAAGTAGACTGCACAATGACGTCTCTTTATCCTGTTGGATGTATGGGGCACAGCCATAAAAGATAGAGCAACTAGAGAAAACAGCATGAACCCCACTGTAAAAGAGTCACAGTCAAGGTCCCATGTCCTGCAAAGAAAGACTTTATGTACTTAGCATTATGCATATAGATCTATTGAATTAATTGAAATGACTCATAGACAAGAGTCTTTGCAAGATTTGGGGTCCAAGTGATATTGTCACAGCTTTTACAATGCCACTCCGGGCTGCTAATTCCCATGACCTTATCCTGTGTCTCAAAAACTAGAGCTATTAAGTCAAGTGACTATATGAGAGCTTCAGCTTTCCTCTAAAACAAAAGAAGGACCTAGTCTTCCTGGCTGCAAAGAGACACATCAGATGTGATGTGAGTGCACCCTAAAGGCTTAGAAACCACAACGCAAATAAAAGTGTCTAACATTTTTGTTTGAAAACCCCCTCGAACTCCTGATTTTTGTGGGGCATGGCCCAGGATTTTTGGAATACTTGTTACTAGTAATCCTAGGAGCAGAGCCAGTAAGACAGAGGGATGTGGCCAAAGACGATGAGAACCGAGTTAAAGGAGAGGCCCCCCCCCCCTTTTTTTTTAACAATGTAGGACTGTCAGGGGCTTCTTGGCCGTCAAGTCCAGTCACCTGCATTCACAGGCAACTATTTGTCTGAAAGGATTCACAAGACTGCCCTGTAACACAACAAATCAAAGCCTTGACTTCTCTCAGAGCCAGAGGGTGCGTCTACACATTCATTGATGCGTCAAATTCCTGTGTATTAAGGTTAGTACCTGTACCGCCAGGTACTAAATGAGCAGTAACTGGTGCTACTGTGCAGTAGCGCCGGCACGCACCTTTTAAGTGATGCCAGTGTGCAGCAGACTAATACTACTGTGCATTAGCATATTAGCACGGCTTTTGCCGTGACATTCTAATTAATGCACAGTAGAATTAGTCTACTGCGCATTTAACGTCTTGTGTAGACGCACCAAGAGAGTACTGGAGGGAGGTCTGCCTGTGTCCAAAAACCTTGATAAAGAGTCTCTTTCATAGTAACTACTAGGGGGACCTATCTATTATCAATCAAGAGGAACAATAGCAATCCTTGCAGAAATCTCTCCTTCCCAAGTATGGTTCTTAATGTACCCTGGAGACACGGCCTTAACAGGAACTATGCTGATTAGCTTCTGCTTAATCCATGTCATGGATACGTGACTACAAACAGCACCCTCATAATTTATTGCAGGTGCAATTCCTGCCATTTTGTTAAAGCACAGAGGAGGTCTCTATCAATAGAGCAAACATATATCTAGTATCTTATCACATTAGAGAGCCCAGCTCCTTCAAAAGGCAGCATTTAGTCCTCCCAAAAGAGGTGGTATTGTATGATAAACCGATCCAAGCCCAAAGATGGAACGTGGCTGCATGCTGACATTGGACATGCTTCCTCAAACTTCCCATGGGCTTATAACTAGACTTGCAAACAAAGGACAGCAAGTATGAACTGAAAGAGTCCTACACACAATGCCAAGCCTCTTCCCAAACAGCCGATGTGCGAGATCTGAATTCGGTATAACAGAATGCCTTGGCATCAAAAAAAAAAAGAAAAGAAAAAAGAAAGAGATACAATCATAATAAGACTTCAAGAGCTTCTGTAGTATCTGCCTAATTTCAGAATGCTTCACATATGCTAATTAAGCTTAATGACATTCCTGGGAAAGCAGTATTCATCCCACTGTACAGATGGAGAAACTGAGGAACACAGCAGTTAACCAAATTGTTCAGGCCTATGCAGAATTGGGTTTGAAGCCAGAATTCCTGTAAAACCACTTCCTGTGCCCTGACCTCGACACTGTATTTATTCCCTTCTGCTCCTTGCTAACCCATCCCCAGCATGCTAAGAAACCCCACATTTGATGGAGCAAACTGCAGCTGTTGCCTGTGGTTAACCCTTAGTATGAGCATGAAGTAGGTGAGAGGTCCAGGCATGGTTAGGTGGGTTAGAGGAAACAGGAAAGCGCAGTACCAAACTCCTGCTTAGTGGTGGCTGGCGGAGCACTCTCCGTAGTGGTTGTAGTGCTGGCGACGGTGGTGGTTGTAGTGGTTGTGGCAGCTGTGGTTGCAGTGGTGGTGGTAGTAGTTGTGGCGAGGGTGGTGGTGGTTGTAGGGCTGGTTAGATCGACTGTAGTTGGAGGCAACCAGGTTGCAGCTGGGAGAGGCAAATGTAAACACTGTGTTTTTAGAAGAGGTTATATCCTTAGCTGTCCTGCTTTGGCATTCCCGAAGGCTAAACACACGCGTACGAGAGAGGAAGCAGAGCAGCACGACAGAGACAGAGGCAAGAATGGGAAGAGAGGGAACAAACAGAAGCACCTGAAATGAGAGACCCAAGCTTAGCTTTCATTTTCCTTCCCCGGAGTACATTCCCAGTGACAGTCATGCATTTCAGCTCCTGCCTGGGCAGGCGTGGGGGGTGCCTGGCATCTCCCGGGTAAAGGGGCGCGCCAACAATCCCGTAGGCGAGCAAGAACAAAACACATGGCAAGCGGCAGGAAGTGGGCGAGCTCAGCCCCAAACAAATAGCTCCAAATGTGCTTTCATTCTGGGCTCATTGTCTGGCTTATCCCCTTTCTCGTGGGGCTGAACAGCTTCCCTTTCTTTATGTGTGCTTTGCCCAACTGTCCCACCTCTGCCCACTGTGGATTTGAAGAGCAACAACTGGCATGAAAAATCAGAGTGAGTGCCTATGTTCTGCTGGGATATAAGCGGAGTGAGAGTCTGCTCCCCCCATTATAACCAGGATGTCTGAGTGGGGAATTTAGCTCTGAGAAGCCGAATCTCTCTCAAATAAGAAATGGGATTTGACTCTTTATAAAATATAATAATCCAATTTGTCACGGACAAAGTAAACCCAAATTAAATTAGCTTAGTCCACCCTGTGCTACACGTGCAGCATATTTCTGAGCTCCTGGCATTCTGCTGGCAGACACGTTAATTGTTTCCTTCCTAGTACATCTTCCTACAGATGCTGTGGTCTGCAGGTGCATAAGAGGCACTTGCATTAAGAGGAGATGCAGCTTTCGGTTTTTGCTTGAGCAGTGATGGCTGCAGCTTTGGCTTTGCAATCACTGCTTCCCACAGCTTGTCATTTCTATTAATTATTTAATAAGCCCATCTTTCCTCCCAAATCCCCTCGATGCCATATTTCAAAATGGAAAAAGGGGAGAGATGGGTATATAATGCACACACGCTAAAGAAGGATGCATGCTTCCCTCCCCCAGCACTTCAGTGGCTGTAAAGGATCTGAAAGGGACTGAGCTGACGGTGCCTTTGCACAGGAGGGGAGCCGCGGATTTGTGTGTGCTTGACACCATAGGCTGCCCTACGATAGTTAAGATACCTCATTGCCTTTTTGGCTTTGTTTCTAGATGTATGCTTGGGTCAGGACTCTAATCCTCAAAGAGTATGAACGGGAAGAGGAACAGTGCCTTTAGCAAGTTAGGTGACTGTCAAGGGTTCTTGTTAATAAGAATCGCTGGGTGAAATTCTTTGGCCTGTTTTATGTGGGAAGTCTGACTAGATGATCACAAAGATACCTTCTGGCCTTAAAAACTATTAGGTTTTAGATGTGAGGGTTATTTTGCTATAGGGGAGAAATGTCTCTGTGTACTCCGTCGGTTGGAATGCAAGAGGGGCTGTGTGAAATATTTCCACCATTACTTGAGGACTGACACATCTTAGGATAATTGCCGGCAGCTAAATATGCAGCTAAAACTAAGATACACGTTAGAAAAAAAATGAACAAAAGGCTCACTCTGTGCTCCCTATATTGAAGTACCCCAGGCTTTCAGAGAGTTGTGCCTTGCTTCCATGTGTGATTTGGGGACATGCAATAAGTCTTCCGCTAGGAGTACGCACTGGTAGACTCCCTGCTGCAAATGTGACCTTTAGCCAAATGAAAATAACTATGGGAAAGGAGCTTAGAAAGACAGCCCCACATACAACCCCATGTTTCCACTGGTTCTGCACCAACCTACGCCACTATCCTGCCACTAGGCACATCGTTTCACACACATGGAGCTCCACTGACTTCAGAGGCACTCTAGGACTGAGCCTTCATTTGATTTCTGAGGGAGAGGCATCTTTGCACACAACTCTCCTGCATTAACAGAGTCTCTTGCTGCTCAGGATCAACATCCCATAGGTTCATTTGGGGGGGGGGTTGCGTGCACATAATATACACATTGCTGCTTTGAATATATCTAGAACCCAAGAGCCCCCCCACACCACAGTATTAACGGTCCAATAACTGGAGTAATAGAAGTTGAAGGTGGAAGAGAGCAGTTAAACTGCTCAGTCCATCTACCCACCCTGCACCGTATGTAGCTAAAAAAAGAGGCATTGAAAATCCCAGTAACCTGCACAAACTGGAAAGGAAAACAAAACCCAGCACAGTTCACAGTGCGCTCACAATGCAGCACGTATCCTCTTTGACAACACTCACGACTGGTACAAACACAGAAGTACAGCAGCCAGCATCATGCAAAGCCCCAGCCATTCAAATAAAGCCATCAGCACCTCCCCTCCTTCTGCCCAGTGTCAAAGGTTTGATCGATTGGCGTGAAGCAGCAAGAATTGCCAAACAACATGTGAGAGAATCTAGAGAAAGCACAGGGTGACCTGGAGCTCCTGCCACAGCATTTGCGGTCTTGCTCTTTTTTGTTCAATTCATCCACCACAACGCACGTGTCTCTTAGAGGAGAGCTTTGCTCTCTGCAGTCCTCGCTGTTACCCACGGATCAGATCCGGGGACGTGTATCTGTGTCTTGTGGCCATAAGTTACAAAAGCCATATTGGGACAGCCCTGATTCCTGACATTTTTCTGAAAGTGAAGATGAGTGTAGCTAATGGCATCGTTACCTCAATTAACTCCAAAGCTGCAACCTCTTGTTCCAATTTGAAATGCACACAATAAAAATACCCAGAGAAGAAACCGGTATTGGCTAATGAACGCTCTCAACTTCCCTGAGAGGCACTGATTTCTCCACCAGTAAAACAGGGCTTAACGAGGCATGAGGAAGTAACACGGGAGTCAGGGATCAAGCTGGGACTGGAACTCAGAAGCCCTAGGCTCCTCGTCCCGGTTTGGTACCAAGGGTGGCCATCATAGAGGACAGTCCAGTTGTCCTCTATTGATACGAAACCGGACGCCTCGATGTCCTCTATTTTTCTCTTGAAGACTAATTCTACTGTGCATTAATTAGCATGTCATGGCAAAAGCCGTGCTAATATGCTAATTGCTCTTGAAGAAAAAAATAGAGGACATCAAGGCGTCCGGTTTTGTATCAATAGAGGACAACCGGACTGTCCTCTATGATGGCCACCCTATTGGTACCACCAGGCTGTATCACCTGCTACAGCCTCAAAGGTCTCAGTATCCTTCATCAGCATGATCACTGGGGGGCCGAGAAGGCCCCCTTGTTCCAGCGTGACGTGCTGGCCATGCTGAGAAATGGTTTTGCACCGTCTTACCCTGCTTGGTGCATACGTATTAAAGTCCTTATTGAGCTGACACCATCTCTTTAATAACCCTCTGAAAGGAGCCCCTCAACTCTGACAGTGACAGTGTGAAGCGTTTGCCCCAAATGCTGTAGCCCCGTGATAGCTCCCTTGGAAACAATACCTCAGGGCAGGGCCGTCACCTTGTATCAGGCTAATGTGGCTTAACCACTGAAAGAGTCCGTGTGACACTGGGGTGAGTGTGTGCATTTGCAGCGCTTGTAAAAACAAATCCTCTGGAAGACCAGAAACGGGTACAGGCAGGAGCCTTTGATCTTGGCGCCCTGTGGTTTGAAGGGACCCCAATCAGAGCAGTGCGAGAGGCAGACTCTTGGCAGGAGCCCCCATGCTGCAGCTCTAGGAAGATCAAGAGTGGGAGGAAGACACGAATCCATCTGGACGGGCTGGCAGGGAGAGCACATCCCCCAGGGTCGAGGGAACTCCCACAGGTTCGGTGGATGCAGCCCTAATCTGCTCCCCAGGTGGAAGGCAATTCAAAGCTAAAGCCTCATTTGGGTTTGAATAGAAAATGTGCGCGAAAGAAAAGCTCAGCTGGTCCATTTGGGATGGGAGGCAAGGGGGTGTTCTCTGCTCTTTGAAATCCTGCCCTTAATGAGAACCGACTTCAGATTGGAGAAGGATCAAGGAGGCCTTTGACAGAAGATGAGAGCTTCTCTGAATATCAGGAGCAGGAAAGGCGAACTGTCAGGGGGGAGGTCAGAGTCTGAAATGAGTCCTGCAGGGAAGGGGTGGGGGAGGAGGCAGGAGAAGCTATGATTCCCAACTCAGGATCCTCTACCGTGCATGTCAGGTGCTCGAGGATCTCAAAGCACATTAGGCCCTTCACATATCCTGACTTGTTGGGCACTGCATGATTGCAGCCAATTTACAGATAGGTAAAGGGGGTGAAGGGGACCCACCAAGTGGGGCTCTCAGAAGGTTTTGCACACTCACGTCACGTGGGCATGTTGCAGAACTCTGCTCAGACGCTGGAGCTGGCACAAAAGACTCGAGCTCTGCTATTTTTAGCTTTCTACACTTCCAGTTTGCAGGTTCAGCAAGGGCTTCAGCTACCCAAATGCTGTCGAGCAGAGCCTCTGATAGTGCAGAAGCTCCCTGGGTACCAAATGCCCCATGCTCCATTTGTTGTTCATGGGAGCTGCAAATGCTGCACCCTTCTGCACACCACGGGCCCCTGTTGAAAATGCTGCTTTAAGCTGCTTGAAGGCCTGAAGAACCTCGTGCCCTCACCTGCCACAGCTCTACCTCACCTGAATCCACCCAGGGGATCAGAAAGAGAACTAAGCAGTGCCCACGCCCATTCCCTTGTGCTGTCCCGAATGCATAGGAGTCATTCTCGCACACAAAAGCTTGCCTCTCTGGCAGGTCTGATGCTCTTCAGAGGTCGAGTTGGGAGCGTGTGCTAGAGATGAGCTCTGATCCAAGGAGGCCCTGACCTTTGTGACCTGGCTGCCCTTCTCCTTGCTCATGCTTTGCCACTTTTCTCTGCGGATATTGTAGGCGCTGTCAGATGATGGAGTCCAAAGGGCCAAAGTGCATGGGGCGTTTGAGTAAGATGGATTGAAAATGCAGCAGACACACTGGCTTCAGTGGCTAATAGGCTAATTAATCCACAAGTAAATTAGAGACCCTGCACGTAATGACTTCTTCACGGCACAGTGGCTCCACTCATGCTCTCTATTGTAACCTGGGTACATTAAAACACCGACCACTGTCTGCTCCCATGAACAGTGAAAAGCATCAGCAGGCTTGTGGAAAGGAGCCCACGCCCCAGCAATGAACCTATGTGAGGAGAGTTTTTCATTAGGCAGATGGGCTGTCATTTGCATTACAAATCGCTGTAGGAGTAAGTGGGTTTTATTGATAAGGCTCCCCCTTCTTTGCTTCCTTTTGTACTTCACTGCTAAGCTAGAAGGATTCAAGGCTACTTCCAAATCCTCGGTGAATTCCAGTCATTGAGAAGTCAGGTGCACAATTTCTACATGTGCTATGGAATATGACAGGAAACAATAAGTCCCCATACTGGTCTTTAATTATTTAGGGGAGCTTTTAAAGTGCTGTTAGGCTGTAATAATGACTTCCCCCCGGGTGTGTCTCTACAGCATAAGCAGGCTTGGAAAGATCTGATTAATCCCTTATAAATGTTGACGGATAGCCAAATATTTCCAAGAGATTTTTCTCCCCCTGATTATCTTAGCAACTGAAGGAAATGTGATTTGTATATAATATAAATCATAGTAATTTGAAAATCTAATGACTACAATCAAGTGATGGTCTTTAATAGGAGTTTGCCAGATTGAATGGACTGCAGAAGAAAGGGACCATTAGTTTTCCATAAGCAGTACATTTCAGTTGTCAGGTTCTGGTAGGAACAATGGACTCCTCCTCCTCTCCTTCCCCTTTGATGGAAGGAAACAAGGAAAAACCAACAAATATTGGTATCTGGTGCTGAAAACTTAACCCTTCCTAGCCTACTCACAAAGCTCCCAGGTCTAATGCATCTGTACAACCTGCAGACTCCGTCATAAAGACCACCCGAGTTTGCCACTGCTGTTGGTGGTACAAGATCCAGCTCTTCTCTCAGCTATCAATGGTTTCCCTTTTCATTACACAAATGGAAGTCTTTGGGTTTTCCAAGAAATGCCTTCCCAAATCACTACCTCGGTCCCCCAACTCTAGTTTAAGAAATGAAAAGGTGGGATCTCCTTCACTGGCAGTTCTCAATGGCCAAGTACAGACAGTCTAGCAATTCAGTCTTTGCAGGTTAGTCTAAGTTGCAGAGATGGACCTGATTTGCAAGTGAATAGATATTCACTTCTGATCCAGGAACTGTAGGCACATGCCTTCAGTGGCTCAAGCCAGAAGCAGGGAGGGCAGGCGCTAGAGCTGGGCTCCCAGCCTGCCAGCTCCAAGAATTTTCCAAACCTTCCTACTCAAGCAGACAGGGCATGACCAAGACCCAGCCCAAAGCTAGCTGGAGGGTCTGCCTGGGTTGGGGAGGGCAGTGCCTGCCAGGCTGAAGAGGGAGTGGGCAGGGAAAGAGGTAGTGGCATTGAATTCATAAAAGCTTGAACAGGAACAATCCTTTCCCTGAAGCAAGCATGTATTGAACAGAAGGGAACAACCCTTTTGAGTCTTGCTGGCTGTGATCCTGGACTACAAATCCCAGAGGCCCCTGGAAGCAGGAAGAGGAAGTGATGAGCAACCCTACAGAGTCCCACAGCTGTGGCTCTGGACTGCAAATCCCAGAGACCTTAGGGGCAGCAGGAAGAGGAAGTGATGAGCAACCCTACAGAGTCCTGCAGCTGTGGGTCTGGACTGCAAATCCCAGAGACCTCAGGGGCAGCAGGAAGAGGAAGTGAACTCACAGCCTATTTCTGGGGGGACACTGATTTAAGCTGAACCAGGAAAGGGTGGTTGGGTATTTGGCTGCGGTGGGTTAGGAGTAGCGTACAGTGCATTGGGAGGGGGAATTCAAAAGCCTTCTAAACTTGTGTTTTAAAAATTGACTCAATTAAGTGTTAGGCAGGCAGGGTTCTTTTGGTAAATGTGATACCTTTTATTAGACAAACTAAATAGTTAGAAACATTGTTCTTTGTAAGCTTTGGGGTACAAGCACCCTTCTTCAGGCAGGGGGAGAATCTACAGTACTATCAGTGAAGTGTTTGCATTTTGCTTTGATTTCATCCAGCTGGGCCAGTTTCTCCTACTTGTACAACAGGCAGTTTTGAGTGTGGGTTTGTTTCACCGCCCCC